TGTTTTCGATGTGAACAAATGGTCTCGTCATCCACCCAGCTACTAAAGCCAAAATGTTGTCATCTATTTTCTTCGGTCCCTACAGATAATCCAATGTCGTTACTTATAATGCTGAATACCTCTTGAATATGGAGATTTCTCTCCAATTCCTTTGCCGCTGTAACAGTCTGAGATACTACAATACCACTAAAAGGTCCTTTGTGCTGGTCTCCCTGTCGTTACTATTCCATTTGCACACAGATGATTCAAAGACAGAGCCAGTTATATCTACCCCTTGTTTGTGATGCCATCAACCTTCTGACAAATTCAAGACTCCTTAACCTCCTTTTGCAAAGCTCTCTGTTATCTAACCCCAAGTTGACTTTCCCATGTCCCTCAGAAATCCATGCATCGATCTCTAAGGTTTATTCCTAAACAGAGCCAAATTGATTCTCATTTCCTTGTACTGTTTAATCTCTTTCTACACATCAACCCCCATCCCTTTAATTTGATATACTCTTGTTTATCACTTAAAACTCAGTTTAAATATCACTCTCACGTTCCATCTATTTTATTTTTAAGATTTTATTTATTTGTCAGAGAGAGAGAAAGCACAAGCAGGGGGAGCAACAGGCAGAGAGAGAAGCAGACTTCCCACTGAACAGGAAGCTAGACTTGGGGCTTGATCCCAGGACCCTGGGATCATGACCTGAGCCAAAGTCAGATGCTTAACTGACTGAGCCACCCAGGAACTGCTCACTTTCCATATTCTATAATACATTATAAACCTGTAGGGTTTTTGTTTTGTTTTGTTTTTGAGCTAATGATAGGCAATTAGCACAATTCCCTCTTTTTCTCTGTGAAAACTATGTCCAAATAAAACTTTTAAATCATCCCTAAGTTATTTTTTAAAATAATAGGGAAAACATAATTTCTTCCATTTATGGAAAGCTTACTATGTGCTATGTATACCGCCAAATGCTACACAAAAACAACTTTAGTTAGTCATTAGTTTTCTTTAGTTTTAATATCATCTCATTTTACTCATGAGGACTCGTAGGCTACACTACTGACAGTGAAACTGAAACTCTAAGATGGGAAATCTGACTTCTGAGCTTACACTAGCTCTTGAGTTAGCTTTGCTTCCTCAGACAGGCCTTATTACAAAATAGCCCAAAGGAAAGGACAGTAGCTAGGGCTGCAAAAGCCAGATGTCACTCAGAGAGACAAAGGATTGTAGGAGGTTGGGAGTCAGCAAAAAATCAGAGATAATGATGAAGAGGGAACCCTGCTAACTAGGTTACCAGGAGCTCAGACTGGGTCCTGATCCCTGAGGTAGCCCTGGCTTCCAGTTCCAACCTTTAGATGCCCTGGGACTGAAACTGCTATACTGGTACAGATTCCTTTTGTCATGGGAGTTGAGCAATTTCTTAGCAGGAGTGTTTACGTGTAAAGGACATTGTTTATGTGGCTAGAGCCAGATTCCCCACAGACACCAGTGAATCTACTCACCCTAACCTCCATCTTGATACTCACTTTCAATTGGGAAATGGCCTTCCTTGAGCCACCTCTTCCACAAAACAAAATAAAGTATGAAAAACATAAAGGCATTGATAACACCTGGCCAAGCCAAAATTACTGATGACTCTAGGCAAACATATCTCCCAAATGAACTGACCAATTTAGATATATTGATGATGGATATATATGGCCCAGACATGTAGTTCACTCCAGACAGAATGACCACTAACGACAAACTGACAACATAAGCATACCAAATGCTTTGAGCATACTGGCTTCTCCCACCCCACCCCTCACAGTATGTGGTCTTGAGGCATGGACTGTTTGGTCATCAAGGATATGCTGAACTTCCTAGACAGATTCACCATTCTAGATATACCAACTACTTGGGACTAATACATACTGCCCACTTGAGCCTGGTTCCTAGATTGACATCATCTGCTCTGTCCCAGCTGTCCATGGGCAATGAGTTCAGAAGGAGGAGCTGAGGTCAGTTAGAATATCTAGGAGGCAATAGCGTACCTTCATATTTTCCCCAAGTGAAACAGTTGTGGTTTTTATTGAACATTTGAGCCACTGACTCCACTAGCTTCTATTAATCTCAGGAAAGCTATGCTTATTACCTCACAAATATAAACATTTATTTACATAATCACTTCTGAACTCAGTCTGTGAATTCCTATACTGTTAAACACATCATCTCTTCTGGACTTTATCTAATATTTAAAGGCTGTATAAAAATTGGCTGCATCTCCCGGTCTTTTACAAAGACATTCCTCTGAAAGCAAATGTTTTTATCTTCCAAAACCCAAATACCGTGGGCAGCTACATTAAGTTTTCAATAACCAGGTTCATAAAGTCTTATACCTAGTGAAGATTATTAATAATGTTAAGATTAAAATAGAATATATTCATAATTTGTTAATAATTACTAAGATTTGCTGAAACAGTATATTTTATGCTGGAAACAGGTATTTATTTGTTAAATCTGGCATGTCAGCGCTCTATGCCTAGGTCTTCATATTTTGTCAGGTATAAAATAGACAAAAACATGTGTTAAGTGAATGAATCAAGCAACAGTTCTAATCTCAAGGAGTTTCTATATCAGGTAGGAATATGAAAGAATGGAAATACAAGATAAGTGCCATAATAGTGACACTAATATGTTAGAGAAAAGACAACATTAAAGGAATGATTGCAGATAAGAATGAATTTTAAGTCACAAAACCTGATTTCAAAGCCCTGCTCTGTTACCAACTTATTAGATGACTTTGGGCATTTTTCTCTCTGAGCCTTAGATTTCACGCACGGGAGATGGGTATAATCAAAGCCCATGGCTTGCCCTCACATTGCTACTGTAACAACTAAAATAAGATTTGAGGGCTAGAGGGAGTCATGAAAGAGTCTGAAGAAAAACTGGGCTGTAAGGCGAGATTTTAAGAACAGGTACAATTTCAGACAAATGTGGAAAAAGGAAATGACTCTTGATTCTAGTTGTAGTGAAGAAATCAGTAGATAAGAAAAGTGCTTACGTGGAGGAAATAGGTGCTCTGTGTAGTGTGGGGAAAGACAATCGCAACTTTGAATAAATCAACAGTGAGGATTTGACTGTGTTGCATATGGGGGTGAGTTAAGGATAAGTGCTCTGTTTCTAGTTTGTGAATCAAGATGGAGAGTAATCCAATTCATTGAAGCAAAGAAAATGAGAAAAGGATCAAATTAGGAGAGTGCTAAATCAAGAGTTCTGTGCATGATAAATTGAATTGCTATAGCTTTGCGACATTAACGTGGAGCTATTAAGGAATCTGTTGAGTATATTGAATGTATTGATCAGAAGCTAAAGGTTTTAGAGAGGTGACTGGTATTCAGGAGGAGATTATAGAAGCAAAGGCACTAAGGAAGGGATAATCCACAAGCTCTGCATGATCAGAAAGGTCTGGATGCCAGAAATATTACATAGGATGCATATGTGGAGTTTACAGATGGGGAGCTGACCTTGGAACTAGAACCATAACAGAGGTCTGCTGCTGAAGAAATGGGTTAACATTTTTTCAACTTTTTTGTAATATTTGAAGCCCTAGGGGTATATGAAAAGTATGAGGGAGAAAGCATACATAGAAAGAGAATGGAAACTTGGCAGAGGGCCTCATTTATGGAGCAGAAGGGAGAAAAGGAGCTGAAACAGGAAATGAAGAAGGCATGAGTCAGTGGGAGAAAACACCAAGTACAACTTCATAAAAATTGAAAGAAGAAAGTTTGAAGAAAGGACCTGTGAACAGTATAAGAGACACCAAGGAGAATAGACATGCCCCATGAGATTGGCAATTTTACCATGGTAGCAATGGAGGCTACAGTTGCTTTGTTGGGAATCCATAAAATCTGTAGATATTTCTTAAAATATTCACCAATTATTTTCTGAAGAATCCAAAAACTTTCTGAAAAATCAATATTTCTTTGTTTCTGGATTCAACGGGAGAGTATCAGGAAAACAAAATATCTTTTTATATTTGCCACTACAACATATACATGTAAATATGTTCTCAATCTATATGATGTTAGTAGTAGATGTTAACCATTCTCTGAATTACATCCATGATTAGTATCTCTGTTTCCAGCTGAATGTTCTAAGCTTAAAGGGACATCAAGTGACTTGTCATATTTGTTCCAGTAAATCAGAGATAAAACGGATCTATCATTTTACATGAATAGCATTGGAATGTTTTCCAATTTGCCTAAAAGAAGAGTTTCATTTTCAGAGCATTTTCCACAGTTTATTTTTAAACAAATTGTAGCAAAGAAAAACTGATTTTTTAAGTATAACCACATGTAAAAAGTTGCTTCCAACAGTTATTAAAAGCATTCTTCTCTCCCTTAAATCAATGCTGACTTAAGATTCAGAGACAAAGTTCCCTTTTCGTATTCTGGTACTGTGTAACTCAGAAAAAACACTTTCTCATTCAACTCTCTTATATGAGTATTATATTTACAACCATATATATATATATATGTGTGTGTATATATACACACACATATATAAAGATGTATATATATGTAAGATTTGTTTTTTAAAAATAAATGCATATATGTATAAATAGGTATACATGTTTATATAAATGTATTTTTATATATGTGTGTATATATATATTATATATATATATATATATATATATATATATAATTATATGTAAGTAGAATTTTTTTTTTAAATAATTTAAGACACAGGGTAGAGTTGTGGTAGAGAAAAGCCTGTACTTCATTACCAATTTCTTCATTCCTATGCTTATCTCTGAATGAATAGTTGCCTAATTAAAAAAAAAAAAAAAAAAAGCGGATTTCCTTCTACCCTGGGAATTTTTGCAGTATTTTAGAAGAGCAAAGCTCAGCTTCAAAAGAATTATCTTTGCATTTAGAGAATGTTTCAAACATCAAGCATGTCCATCCTCATATGCATTTGTAAGGAACTACAGCAGTGCCCGTTTATCTGTGGTTTCTTTCTGCAGTCTCTCTGGCCCTGGGTCAACCACAGTGTGAAAGCAGATCATCAGGAGGTCAATGGTGGCCTCATGCTACGTCACAGTAACTACGTTGTTCACCTCACTTCACCTTATCACGCATAGTCTCACGTCATCACAAGAAGGGTGAGTACAGTACAATATTTTCTGTGAGGGAACACGTTCACATAACTTTTATTCCAGTATATTGTTATAATTGCTTTATTACTAGTCATTGCTGTTAATCTGTTACTGTGCCTAATTTATAAATTAAACTTTATCATTGGTATGTATGCATAGGAAAAAAAACAGTATATATGAGGTTCAGTACTATCAGGCATCCACTGAAGATCTTGGAACATAAACCCCACAAATAAAGGGGGACTACTATATCAAATCTTCAGGCTTTCTCGCCCTTTGGCTTCTACCTTAGCCCACATAGTCACTCTGCGTGCCTCAGAGAATATACAGAAGTGATCCTACCAGATGTGTTACTTGAAGTGAGAGTCTGTTCACTGCTATGAGAAGCCAAGCATTTGACTCCTGGCTCTTGCAGTGATAGCCCCTTTGTTAAAAAAACACTTTGCCAATTTTGAGATTAATCAAAAAAAATATGTTTGTTGTAAAAAAAAAGCAGTATATATTTTTTTCAAACTTTCATTTAAATTCTAGTTAGTGAACATAGTGTAATATTGATTTCAGGTGTAGAATTTAGTGATTCATCACTTACATACACCACCCAGTGTTCAACACAAGTAAGTGCCCTCCTTCATACCCATCACTGATTTAGCCCTTCTGCCTCCCACATACCCTCCAACAGTCCTCAGTTTGTTCTCTATGGTTAAGAGTCTCTTATGGGGGGGGGGTGCTTGGGGGCTCAGTCATTAAGGGCTTGCCTTTGGTTCAGGTCATGATCCCAGGGTCCTGGAATTGAGCCCCACAGTGGGCTCCCTGCTCAGCGGGGAGCCTGCTTCTCCCTCTCCCACTCCCCCTGCTTGTGTTCCCTCTCACTTTGTGTCTCTCTGTCAAATAAATAAATAGAGTCTTTAAAAAAAAACAAAACAAAAAGAGTCTTTTATGGTTTACTTCTCTCTCTCTTTTTTCCCCTTCCCCTGTTCATCTGTTTTGTTTCTTAAATTCTACATATGAGTGAAATCCTGTGGTATTTGTCTTTCTCTGACTGACTTATTTTGCTTAATGTAACACATGTTAGCTCCATCCACGTCATTGTAAATGGAAAGACTTCATTCTTTTGACAGTTGAGTAATATTCTATTACATATATATTCTATTCTATATATGTTATTATATAATATATTATATATATTATTCTATAATATAGAATATATTATATATAATAATATATATATTATATATATAAAGAATATATATAATATAATTATTCTATGTAATAGAATAATTATATTATATAATCTATTTAATAGAATATATTTTATATAGAATATAATTATATATTATATATTGTATTATATATTATATATTCACACACACATACACACCACCTTTTCTTTATTCATTCATCAGTTGAAGGACATTTGGGCTCTTTCTATAATTTGGTTATTGTTGATAGTGCTGCCATAAACATTGGGGTGCATGTATCCCTTTAAATCAGTATTTTTGTATGACCCATGAGATCATGAGCTGAGCCAAAAACCAAGAATTGGAGGTTTAAGGGAGGCTTAAGCAACTGAACCACCCAGGCGCCCTAACAGGTAAATTTTATGATGAATTTTCTTGGATCACTTTCATATTACAGCCCTGTTACATCTTCTATTCACCTAATTTCTCTGAAACTCTGTAATTTTTGGTCATACTATCCCTCTTGGAATAGTATGGAATTTTTGGAATTCCACACTATTGGAAAAATCTTGGAATTTTTTCCCCATCTTCCTTTCCTTTGGAAACAACTGCCATCCTAATCCCTCATGTCACCACCACACAAATTCCGTAAAATTTGATTAGCAGTGCCCTGTATATAATTCTCAGAAACTTCCCTCATCATGTCTTTTGTCTAAGAGACAGGCCATACATTAGAAAAAAAAAAAAAAAATTTTTTTCATATGTTCCATCTGTGGGAATAGAATATTCTATTCTTGATAGAATTATTGAAGAGAAAAGCATATTATGTCAAGGCCATTAACCCACTGAGCCACCCAGGCGCCCCATGTCAAGGCCATTAAAAAGAGTTTTCTATCTCGGAGTCGTGCAGTTCAAGGTTGGGGCTGATGTTTTTATACTAGCTTCCAATTTTCTCTCCATGTACTTTGTACTCTTTAACCTGCATCAGATATAAAGTATAAGAGAAATAAGGAAAAATTGTATTTCACACAAATGTCAATAAATGTAAAAGTATCATTCCCCCCCTCCCCCGCCAAGAGGTGGTCTTAGCATAAATGGATCCTAAAACGCTCAGGATACTTGTAAATGATGCAGCCATACACGGCAATAGAGAGAAGGCACAAGTGTTAGACCTTATTTTTAGGTTTGACTAAGGCGAGCAAGCATATTCTCCAAGGTTTGACCCTCAGAATCCTTCCTGGCAGCCAGACACTGAGTAAGATGGCAGATGAAGATGGCCCTTGGTTGGCGCCCCCCACCTTGACTGCAGTGCCTTGGTGAAAATGGACTTGCCAAACCACTGCAGGAGACTCACTTAATTCCACCCTGATCAAATTTTACAGGTCTGTGATTCAGATTATTCCACGTTGTCAGCTGCAAGACTTCATCAGGACTGAATTTGTTCTGCTTGGAATCCTTAGTTAGTATTCAGGAAAGACCTCTGTGATTAGCCAAATCAAAACCTTTCAGCAGCAGCCACAGCCACGCTCCGACCGAATCTCGGCAGCTGACTTTTCTAACAAAACATTATCCTCTCTTTAATCCAGGGCTAAAACACAGGATTTTATTTTTCACTTTCAGGAAAGAACCGACCCGGGAGCTACAAGCAGTACCTGCAGCAGCAGGGAGCCACACCCTCTTCTCCCCAGGTGAGATTTACAAGCCTCTCCTTGTAAATCCTCCAGAATCTCTCAACCCAGCTCTGCACTCAGAGCCACATCAGTGAAGCCTTTAGAATCCTTTCTGTCAAGGGGAGCTGTTGAACCACACAACTTGAATTTGTGTGAAATACCCCAATAGGAGCACACCGGGGAAGACTCTGCCTGACCAAACAAAGGCATTTCTACCCCACTTAGCAGCCAGAGTCTGCTCTAGGTTAATCGCTCTGCTTACTGCAGGAGGATCATTTCCCAGAGCCTCTAAGAGCCGTAGCTTCTCCCCAAAGTGTAAAGCATTGGGCACATTTCCCTAGGTCTAGACAGAGCTCCGAAATGCCATCTTGAAGTTGCTTCAACAACCGTCCCCACCACCCCACCTTTTTTTAAGCTCATTGACTGGCATCTCTCCTAGCTTAAGCTTGCATACAAGTAGAAAATTCTGATTTCTTGTTTCATGCGTGGGTAGCTGTTTATTGTTATCATTTGCTGGTCCGCTAAGCTCTTCGATGACTTTAGAAGGCAAGTTAAGCACCGCCAGTTCACAGCTGAGTACCTCGGCTGGCACGGAGCCGCGCCGGATGCAAGCTTATTTGGAAGTCTGGTGTTTGTTCATGCTCTTACTTCTGCTTCAAAAAACAGCAATTAATCAAGACATCTGACAAGTCCTCCGGGATTGCTTTATGACATCTAGCTGCCCAGAACCACCTGTGCCCCCGCCACCCCAAAGGGAGCACCGTTCACTAATATTGCGGGAGATGGGTCATGATGAAGATCCTTGTGGTGACGCCACTCGTAACTGTTGTTTCTTCCTAAACATTCATACGCTGTGCCTGATTTTTTTGTGACAAATAGCCACCCGTTAACTAGATATTTAAGGTGAAGTCCTTGACCATTAGGAAGAGTAACAATGATAATAATTAATAAGTGCTGTTTATTCATTTTTCTTCTTTAATCTTTATAGTAACTGTGACAGGTACAACTACTCTAGTTTTATTAATGAGAAAGTGAAGCACAGGGAGTTAAAATACAGCTGCGAAGAGTATAATGTTATGGGTAGAATTTTTTCCTTGCTATTATTTCTACCTTTATCTCCCATACAAAGCAATGTGTTCATCATTATAGGATGTGATTTGAGAAAAAGAAACTTCCAGTCTCTGGCTCTACCCGCAAACTGCAGTTTAGTATTGTTAGCATGTGAGGAAAAACATCATGTTAGAAACTGCACCTTTGAAGGAGAGACACCAAATGAGGGAAGAGGAGGATACCTTGCCCTCCAGAAGAGAGAAAATTCCTGCTGGGTTAGATGTCTTTGTATGTGTGGTGGTACCAGAAATAAAGAAAAAAAAAATGATGAAAGAGGTCCTGAAGGGAGCATCTTGCTTTCTGTGAGCAGCCTCAGGAAATGTTAATCATTAACAATCTGTGCTCTACTTGGAACCCTGGATAGCCTACGGGAGATTCCCACATGATGGGTGCCAGGGAAAGATGACTCTGGAAGTTAAGTGTGAATGGGTAGATGAATGGGTTTTTGTGACCAAGATGAATATTCGATGCTCATTATGTAGAGAACTAGTGATGATGATCTGGAGGGAAAGTCAATTTTAACCTGGCAAAATTGAGTTTGTGGTGACAGCAGGGCATGGAGCATGAGACATCTGAAAAACAAATCAGAAACAGTACAAAGAAGGAGGGGAGATCTGAAGTAGGGGCCTGACTTAAGAGTTGAGCGTCAAGATGTGATATTCCAAAGGCATTTAATATAAGCAGCTGTTATGTTCCCCACTCGTTTTTATATTCCCAATTCCTTAAACAATCCTTAGTATATTACTTATTGGACTCACTGGACCAATGTATAAAAAGAATAGATAAAGAGGGAAAGAAACCAGATAAAAGGGGAGGAAAAACCAAGAGCATAACCTGCCAAAAAATGGAAAGGATTGAAATCTCCTTGAATATCAGGATAATCTTTAAATTGAAGGTATAGATTATTCTAGAGGTTTTAAACCTGGCTCTATATTCATACCACTTGGTGAGATTTAAAAGGATAATAAAAGAATGGCTGGTCAGACCACTTAAATTCAAATCTCTTGCAGCGGGGTACAGATAGCAGGATTTTTAAAATGCTGCTCCCCTTCTGATTTTAAGGCTCAGCCATAATCAAGAATCACTGGATTCGATGATCTGCATGCTCTCTTAAATCACGAATTCTAACTTACTGAAAAATTTTAAGTGCTTGCTATATTAAAAAATAGCTATTTTTGCTTTGATTTTCCCAAACCTTCTCAGTCTACTGCTTGCTTCAAAGCATCATTATCCTTCCAGAACCCAAAGTCATTTCTGACCTTTGTTTCTCCCCCATCCCCTGCATCCCACCAGATCACATCCCACTGATGCTTTCCCTCAATTTATTCTTCCCTTTACATTTTCTATGCCACGGCTGTGGTTTGCCTCTACACTCTTGCTATGGTGTTACTTTATTATATGATCTCTTTAACTTGAATTTCTTGTCTCTGCCATCTATTACTTTCTTTGCCACCAAACTTACCTTCTGGAACACCCGTCAGACTGTGACACCCTCTGGCCAAGAAACCTTTATGGATTTCTATTGCTTAGAAGGTAGAGTCCAAACTCTTTAGGCTTGCATCCAAAGTTCTACATGAACTAACCTCAACCTCCCTTTCCAGTCTCTACCCTCATTTATTCTCGCTCTCTCCCCATGTTCTAACCTCCAGAATCATCTGTGCTCAGGCTTCCCCATACCCATTAACTAATTTTGTTATGTCTTTGTGTTTCCTTCACCTACCCAAATCTGAATTTTTCAGAAAGCATTAGCGCAAAACCCGTTTCAGGAATCCTTTTCCTTCCTGAGTCAGAATTAATTCTTCGTTTTGCTCTTCTCTCCTGTCACGTAGTATCTATATTCCAGCACTTAATACATTATGTCTTACTTTATGGTTAATTGCTTTCAACTTCTCTCTCCCACACTACATTGTGATCCCTCCGAGCCCAACTGTCAAGGTTTAGCATCTTCATACCCCACATTTTATCTAGCACCGTGCTTTATAAAGAGTAAGTACTTAATATAGGCTTATTGCTCTGGCTTGAACTGAGTTGACTAGAACTATGCTAAAAGTATTTTTACATAAAAGTTTAAAAAATTAAATAAATATGTCCTGGGAACCTAGTAAACACTTTCCCACAAGAGGCATGCGATGAACTTTAATATAACTAAGATGATTCAGTTTCTATTTTAAGTATTTATTATTGTTTTAATGGTTTTGAGAAGGTCTAATAAACAATTCCATCAGTTTTTTTTTTTTTTTAACTTGACCCTATTTATCTGTCAAACCAGAAGCAATTAAAAAATAATCCTGAGAGAAAGGGTAGTCCATCTAACAAAATTGCCTTTGTTCTTCTGGGATTTAAGGTAAATTGTGTTTGTGAAGTAATCTGTTTGGATTTATCCCATCTCTTTGTTAGCTAATGGATTTCTCTTTGTATTTAATAATTAAGGTAGGGACTATTTCTGAATAACTGTGGGCTTAATTTTTTTTTTAAATGACAGCTCTTAAAGTCTTTCTTTTTTTTTCCCCCTTTTTATAAAATGAAAGTCAAAATTGTTCTCATTGTGTTGCTTAGGTTGTTCCATGCATTAAGAAAACATTCTACCCGAAAAAAAATAGTAAATGACTTTCCTAGACACATGCCTTCTGCTTAACTAATGACCCATTTAGAGGAACCCTGATCAGTTATTGCTTCCCTAGGCATATATGTGATATAATGCATGGATGGAAGCTATAGTTACAGAATTCATTTTTTATTTTTCCAATGATTTACAGGAAACTACTTTTCTATCTTGTCTGCAAAAATACCTTATTGATGAAGTTCTCTACAGCCAAATTATAATCTATATTAAGGGAAAAAAATCAAATAAAGTCTGTTATTTTTCTCTGTGTATTAGAGTTTCTTATTTGGTTTTCCGGTTTCTCTGTTATTTTGTCTAAGGACACTTATGCAGTTTGAATACCATAACTAAAAAGTAGCTTAAAGTTACTACCTGTGAATTAGTATGTACATTTTGGGGGGAATCAAACATTCAAACATAACCTGCCATGTTAGAACACAGATTATATATATACATATATATACACACATATATTTAAGGAGAATCATAACCTATCATATCAAATCATACAGGGTTTTTGTTAGTGGTGGTAAGAGAGAGGATTCTTGAAATGTAATAATGTTTTAGAGGGGAGGGCATTATTTTTCTGTAGCTAAATGATGCAAAGCAGAAACTATTGAAAGGCCGTATAAATAATTACACTTGCCCATAGACCTATTCTTGTAAAATTCTACATTTTTATATTAAAGAAAATAATATAACATCCATCATTTGTGTGTTTTTTTGTGTGTGTTTTTTGTTTTGTTTTTTTTGCTTTCTTTCTTTCTTTCTTTTTTTTTTTTTTGGTGGGAAGGGGAAGGAGTTATTTGTTGTATACTTGTCCACTAATGTGCTAAGAAATTACAAAATAAAAGTTGTATCAAGGGCATTTCTCCCGATCTGTTCAAAGTTGGCTGACGTATCTGTTTTCCCTGTGCGTTCACCTATTTCTGAACAACTTCATTAACAGCCTCTCTATCCCGTCAAGGAACCCTTTTCATGATCATCCTAACATAAAACAAAACTCTTTCACAATTATATCCCCTGGCTTTATTTTTCTTCCTATCTTATCATTAGCTGATCCTGTATTTTTTTAAAAATTCTTTGCTTATTATTTCTTCCCCACCAAGAGGTAAGTTGCATGGGAGGAGGACTTTTATCAGTCATGTTCACCACCAGATCCCCTATACCTAGCACAGTGCTTGCTGCAGCACAGGTGCTCTTTGAGTCCATGTGGGGATGAATGAACACTATGGACTATTTTTAAGACCAGAAAAAACAGCCACGACTTCACCTAACTTGATAGATGTATAAAGTTTCAACCCCCAAAAAGAAAATGGCAGTAGTCAAAAAAAAAAACATTAACAAATAAGGACATTTTAATATTAGAGATGGTAACACTTCTGCATAATTATTTAATTCAAAAGCATTACTTGGTGTCTATTCTGGTCATCTTCTGTGCTAGATTCTGGACTTACAAAGGTGAAGAAAATATCTCCTCCAGAAAATCCTATTCTAATGAAGAAATGAGATCAGTAAATAATTCCAGCCCTGTGATTAAAGAAGAATAAAACAAAACCAAGAGAACTATAAGGTATGGTGGGAGAGCGGGAGGTGTGACTGCCTGTTGTGAGGAGTCATCAGGGAACCATAACAGAGTGGGGTAAGTGGAGCTAGAACTTGAAGTATAGTTTCCTTTTCTCTTTCTGGTGAGAGATCTTTGAGATCTTCCAGATCTCTTTCTGATGAGAGAAATAAAAAATAAACTGGAAAAAAAAAGTATAACAATGTTGCAAGTTAATGAAAGAAATTAAGGAAGCTGGAAGTGAGTCTTATCTCTACTGAAGAGTTCATCCAGAGATTTAAAACCTTAACTTAAAACTAATGAGTCCATCCAAAGAGAAACATTGTAATCCTGATAGATAGCACAGTATTAAGTATATTTCAATGTGACTACCACATAGTCAATGAAAGTTTTGAAAATTGTGATTTTCAGCTGAAACAGATTCTGTTAATCAATAGAATTATTGCTAATATATAATGACCAAGGGTTCAAACTGCCATCTATTCAATAAATAACTGGCTAGGTTTTCAAAAACTTGAATCCCATATATCTTTATGTATTTGGTCCAGACTGTGACCATGGCTATCTTTACAGGCAAATGGGCCAGACATTTCAGAGATTCTATTTTTTCCATTTCTCTACTATGTACCTTAGAAAAACAGTAATACCTATGAATACTATTCACTTATGCAAGGGAAAGAGGAAAGCAGTCCTCTCCTTTATGAAATGATTCTCCACAACAACCAGAACTCATTTAATTCCCATTATCTTATAGTAGGATATTATTATAGTACCATCTTTGCTCCAGTACTGCATTTTGGCTAAATAATACATAATTAATTTTAAAATGTTTAAAAGAACAAAAGTATGTCTTAGATTTCTTTGTTCTTTATGATGAAAATAACTAGTCTCTCTGAAATTTTCTCTATTCAGACAATTGTTGGTGTCAATAGACCATATACATTTTAATAATAAGGAAAAGAAGATTAATTTCCAGGATCTGGTGATCACTATTTTGCAATAGCAATGGGAAGCCATTCAAGGCCTTTAATCAGAATAGTGAAGTTAAGAATAAATTCAAGAGAGCCAAACCCTGGGAGGATGAGCCAAGTTTAGGGCATCTAGAAATCTACCTGATAGTGACAGTGGTTTGAACTAGGGTATGGGTAGTAGGGATTAAGAGGCATAATGGATATGAAAAATAATTAGAGATAGATTCAACAGGAATTTGAAGTTGAGTTTAAGCAGGGTAAAAAGAGAAGGCAGACAGAGAAATAAAATACCCTCAGTATTTCTTTTCTGGTAAGTTTTTCATAGGAAAGTTAGAAGAAAACTGATTTGGCACAGGAACAATTATTTAAATTTTGAAGTTATTGAACACTAGGGTGTCTAAGAGTCATTCAAGTGGGAGTATTTGGCAGGTAGCTATATATAAAGATCTAGAGCTCAGGAGAAGGATCCGTGTTAAAGATACAAATTAGGAAATCAATACATATGATGTTGCATGATGCCTCGGGAAATAATGAGGGATCCAAATAAATAGAAAGCATCTAACTGGAGGAGAGAAGATCACTTGCAATAAAAAACCTCAAGGAACGTTCTCATACAAGTGTAAAAACAGAAAGGAGAATTGTCAAAGGTTATTGAGGAGCGGAAGGCAGGGAAAAAATTCTAGAGGAAGGAATATTTTTAAAAGTTAGGGAAGAAGCAACCATGGTCTGGCAGCGTCTGTGGGGACCTGCAGTGGAAATGAAGGCAAATTAGGGAAGGTTTGGGAACAGTGAGAGTCCCATCTCTTCTGTGGAATTTGACTGTAAGTGGAAAGAGAGAAGATTGCCAAGGGAGCAGAAGAGTTGGCACACCATTTGTTCTTTTGGATTAGAAAACTAGGACATATCACCTGGCAGTAGAAATGAAAAAGCTAAAGAGCAAGGGTGGGGTGGTAATATTCTTGTGATAATGTTCCTTGCTTCACATTCTAAGTCTGGGTAATGTTACATTATGTGACCTTTGGGACATTCATCATCCATGGTAGCCTTTTAATACAGCCTATATGAATATTGTGTCAAACCCGTTTGATTTTATGATTTCTGGCATTTCCCCAAACCAATTTGATCAAGGAGCATGTTTTCTTATACAATACCTGCTAATTGCCTAAAGAAATAGAATTTCTTAGAAACTTTGTATTGAGATAGGGTTCCTGAGGGGAAAAAAGTGTATGTAGATGATAATTTATACTGACATTCATCTATTACTAATGTAGTGGAATTCCTTTAGCAGCATTAAATAGCTTAGTTGGGACTGATCCAGGATTAAGGTTTTCCAGGTAGTATTATAGAGAAAATAGGGTAAAATAATTGAAAATGATGGGAAACTACAGGTTGAATATAACTATAGAAATATAATACTACTAATAATTATAATAGAAGACCAACTGAAGATCTGGGTCCAGATGTTCTGCAGTAGAACAAGCTAGTCAGAGGAGAAAGATAAAAGATCAGATCAAATATCATATCTAACAATGACTACTGAGTGAGAAAGATAGAAAGAGAAAAGATTGTATGAAGTCATGCAATAGTAGAATTTACAATTTCAGAGATGAAGTTGAGGTGAGAAGATCTTTGGCCTTAGAAAATGTGTGACTAGTGTGGAAGGGAGATGAATATCTCTGAGGATGAGATTAAGGGTTTGTAAAGCTAGAATATTGATTGGCTCTGCCATGTGGTTACCAAAGTTACCTACTATAATGTTAGAAATGGAAGAAGGAAGATGGAGATCCAGGTTCTAGAGGCTTCAAGAATTGTGGTTGCTGGTGGCAAGGCAAGGTAATGTAGATGTAGAAGACTGAAATAATGTAATGACACAAGCTAGACATGAACTGGAAGCTCTTTAATTTAAAAATAGTTCTTTTGAGAGTCAAATTACCAAACTGGCAGATGCAGATGTAGGAGACCCTAGCCTCCATCTTCCAACAAAAATCAACAATTAGACAGCTATCTATGAATAAAATCAGCTCTGGGAGAGCTCTGGAGTCCACTTAAGAAATTTTAGAAATGCAATGGAACAAAAATCTGAGAATAACTACATAAGAAGAGAAGGGAGACAGCTTCATCTTGCAGCATCATCTTATTCCCCAAGCTGGCGTTGCTCAGTGCCAAGAGGGTACTTCCTAGATAGAATGAGTTCTCTTTACAAAGAAAGAAGGAACGGGTGAGCTACCATCTTCTCCAGTCTTTGGGGGCACCACACCAAGGTCCCACTTTCATTTCACTGCACCCAGACCAGTTAAGCTGAGACCTATAAAAACAGCTAGAAATAGAAAGAAAATCAGGGGCTACCAATAGCGGCTATGTGGTGGGAGGGGGTGAGGTTCATAGTGACTTGTTCTATGGATAAACTCAGAAACTTTTGCCACCAAAAAAGGAACCAAAGTCCAGCATCACTGCTGAAGACACCCTGAAGATTTTGTCAACGTTTGCGCCACTTGCTGACACCAGTCCCTAACTTCCTCTTATTTGTTCCCACTGGAGCCCAGGAACCACACCGGAAGCTAGCTCAGACCTCTGTGCCTGCAAGAATGCAAGAAGACAACGTAGAACCCTGTGGTCCCCCTTGCCCCCCCGCGCAACTTGCCAAAGTGCACTCCCCTGTGCACTTACATGCAGCCACAGGAGAACACTATCTTAACAACACTCACAAAAATTAACTCAGAAGAGATTAAAGATTT